CACACGCAATATGAATATGTCAATACTAAAAAGCATCCAGCTAAAGTGAGCCTCCAGCTCTGTTAGCTTCCCTTCCAGCCCTCAAAAATAGAGCTTCAAACTCGGTGAATAGAAAACCACCCCTATATTTGGCATTAGAATACAAATGAATGGGCAACGACAACACCTACCTTTCAAGTAGGCAATACCAGCATCTGTGACCTTACTGCATGAAATTTGCAATCCTTTCAAGTTTGTTAGCCCTGTAGAGTGAACGAAATAATCGTTTACAAAGCAAAAATGCGCATTTTAATCATAAAGAAAACACCACATTCAACCAAAGTTACTTTAAAGGTCTATATAAACTGAAAAAGAATTAACATCTACAAGAAATCTGAGTTGAACAAAAAATAACATCAATATCAATGTATATTAAAAGAAGAAAACCTATGTCTATCAGCAGAGAATGGGATTCATGAAAGAAGTCTATGGAAATCGCTCGATAGTGTTTCTCTTGTATGAGCAAGAAATAGAACTGTACACTGACATATCTACTGCACATAACAGACACTAACTAAACTAGTAAATCCTGAGAGACGATCGTTACCGGAGAGAGGCTTCATATCAGAATCTGTGATGCAATTACACCATTTGATATTGAGAGACTCCAACTTTGTTAATCCTGAGAAGGTGTAAACATGGAAATTAAAAGGTGTTAATCCTGAGAAGTCACTCAATTATAAGGTAAACTTTTGTCGGGGTAATATTCTGTCGAGAAAAGAATATTTCAAGAAGAAGAAATTACCTTGGAGATGAATAAGTCCCCCATGAATTCCAGGACATTTCTCTAAATCCAATCTGATCAAGTTTACAAGATGAGCAAAGACACTCATCCCTTGAGCAGTAATTTCATTGTTTTTCCTAAAACTCAAACTTGTCAACCTTGAGAATCCTGAAAGATTTGCTCATCATGATTATACTAAAGCCCAAAAGAGCCCCTCAGAGAGATCCTCCTCTCAGTTGCACGAAAACGAGAAACAGATTGAAAATAATTAGATATATACCTCCAATATGTGCCAGTCCTCGGTCCGATATATGTTCACAGAAGTTTAAATTTAAAGTTTGGATATTCGAGCAATTCCTGAGGTGCATCAATCCACCATCGGTTACATCCGAGCCAGAAAGATCCACAGAAAGTACAGAAGATCCTTGTGAGGAGATGACATCGATCCAATCATCGTTCACCCCTGGACATTCTCCAAGGTGAAAATCCTGAAAGTATACAAAAACATCACAGGAGTTATATCAATTCAATTGGTTCAGAAGATACGTAGAAAATACTAACTAGGATTGATGCCAACTGATGAAACAGTTGACTCCCAGTTACCTGGAGAGCACAATCTCGAAAAGCTTGGATCGAAATATCGGTTACACGCTGAGAATACACCAATTCATTGAGGATTAGCTGAGTAATATCCCTTGGGAGCATACTAAAGCTATCAAATTGATCTATATCCTATAATCACAAAGAACACAAAGAAATTAGCGACCACATGAACACCAGCAGACACCAACGTCACACATGGAGGTGGCGAAAGTTCAGTACATCACAAACTCGACGGACGCTTAAGTCCAGAAGAGAAGGGCATTTCCCTCTTCGAGGATCCATGTCGATAAAAGGCCGAGAAAATGATGTTGTCAACCATTTGGAACTTCCACTCTTGCAATATTTTCCAGATACTCCTCTAGCCAACCTATCTTCATTAGCTAGCTGATCTCTCTTCCTAGAACAAGCGCCCCCCATTGAGAAGATGTCCCGTAATCAATTTATACCATAAAAACTTCAGCAGAACACCATTTTAACCCATTCAATAACCAAGAAAAGAACACATGCACGTTACTTCACCTGCCAAAATAGAGCATAGCAGGATTAAGTTCATTAATCTCAATAATACATCTCTAGCCAAAAACATGACCATAAAGCAAGCACAATCCATGAATTACAGTAAAGATTAACCCCCAAAAAACATGATTATACTCATCTGACGTTTCTAAACATGATTTCTGGTTTACAAGCAAAAGTAACAGGAGTTTCAAAATAACAAAACCAATTTCTTGAAATCCCCATTACAAACTGAAAATATCTCGTCATTAATGAAACAAAATACTGAAATTTCACATCGCAAATTCACTCAAGAACAAAAGAGAAGAATGGAATACTCAAAACTTAAATGACAAAATCAAAAGACCATTCAAACGATTCAAAGATTGAATTAAAAAACACGAGAAAACCTCTGATCGCACCACTTAAATTGCAAACTCCATCGTGTTTAGAGAGAACTCTCATGTAAAAAACGATCATACGACTGAACAGCATCATCAAGCCTCTAAAAATCACTTTACCCTTTCACTAACAATCAAAAACCCTCCACTCCACAAAGGAAAGATTAAAAAATTTCTAAAGGAAAACAAAACACAATCATCTATATCAAAAAGAACAAGACCAACGATCATACCTCATCATGATCAGATTGAATACATTAACTGAAAAGGAAAAAGAAAAAAAAATACGATTCCCAGAAGAAGAAGAAGGCCGAGAAGGAATGAAACAAAAAAAAAAAAAAAAAAAAAAAAAAATTTTCTTT